CAAAACACAAACCTCCAAGCATTTCCAATCTCTCTTCCTTCTCCCCCTGATACCTACAGAGAACAAGCTAGGCAGTGCAACTGACACTCCTTTTTCCTATGTCCAGATGTGCTCCTCAAATCCCCACCACATCTATTGTGCTGTCCTGCTTCTGCTTCTGGTTCCTCCTCCTGGCTCGCTCCTCTAGTTCCTTCCTATTTCAACTGCTCTTGCTCCTGCATCCTTTCCTCCCTTGATACTGCACAGGTGTACTACTCATCACGCTTCCAATTACGAAGTGCATTAGACCCTTTTCTTTGCTTCCTTTTACTTTCTCCATTTCTACCTCTGAAGGTCAAGTTCACTAAAATGTACAACCACTGTGTGAACTTCACATCCTTCCACGTTTCCATTCCACATTTCTAACTCCTTGCTTCCTAAAGCATCCCACATTTCAAAAAGGCACTTCTATGTTGCTCAGTGCTATTATTAATCACTGCACTTGCTCCCTTTGCTACTTCTCTCACCAGCTCCTTCAGCACATGCTTTCATGATGCCAACTACTCCTTTTTTCTCTGTGGGCCAGGTTTGACAGCTTCCTCTCATTACCCTCAGGCAACATCATCTGCAGTCTCCCATTCCTAAATTAAAACAAGAAATTGAGTACTCTTCTTCCCACTTGTCCCCTTGCCTTGTTCCCTCCAGCAAGCTGTCAACACCTCAAACTCTAAACAGTGAAAATAAAAAAGCCAAGAGGTACCTTCCTTCCTTGTTGTGCATGCAGGCGCTCCAAAACTACTTTTCATCCTACCCTCAAAGTCTGTGAGACTTTTTTTCCCCAAAAAAAGTTAAGACTTCCCCCTTCTTTCCCCAACTACCAAGCCCTTTGCTATCACTCTACTTAGGACAGATGTAAATACTTCTCCTTTCCAGGTAGCTGGAATTTACATAAATCTCTCTATAGTGTCTTTTAGAAGTCACGTTCTTCTTTCATTTCTTTCTTCTTTCATCAACACACCCCAGAGTAACTTCTTCAATATCCCTGTCCTGTTCATGCCCTTCTCCCTCTTCCTTAAACTTCTGTGCCAAAGCTCTCATCATTCTTAATGTCTCACTGATTTCTCCTAAGCCTATCTTTTCTCTATGCCCCGCCAGGAGCCACACTGCCACCCAAAGCCAACTTGCCATTTCAGCAGAAAAACTAAAACTTACCCTTACAGACCTCTGAAGAAGTCACATCTACAGTACTCTACAGAAAATTAACTCTTTCTAGGCAAAGATCACTAAACCCCAAGTGATCCTCCCCATCGTAAACATCAGTGTGCTGTTCCATACTTCAGAGTATCTTATATATTATATGGAAAATAACTGAATTTATTAATCTGAGGGAGACAGAAAAGATTCTCAATACAAGGACCACTGAGTACCTTCATGTTTGGAGGGTGACAAGGAAAAGAAAAAAAAGAGGTACAATGGTAAGTATCATACCTATCAACTCTGTCATTTTAACACTGAACCCACAACGTATTTAACAATTCAAACACACAAGTAATAATCGTGTACCTTTATTTTAACACGTGCGCTGCACTGATGCAGTAGATAAGCCAGCAGTCTTCTCTTTGCACAAACTACTATCAATCAAGTTTTTAAATACTCAGATCACATTTCTAGGTGGAAGCAGCATTTAGTGCAAAGAATAATTAAGAAAACCCTAATGTTAACCACATCTTGGGAACTGTTTGCATACATAGTGCAGCAATCATAGCTATTTCCCAACTGGCCTTATGAAAACTGATCAGCTATAGCAGTTTGCATTTGAAAATTCTAACACAGACTTGTTCTCCTTTTTAAAAAAAACCTACACTACAGCAACAAATAAATAAAGACTGACAGTGTGTATGTATTTGCTCAGAATCAATTCAGCAACTTAAAAATATAATGTTCAGTATTTGCTGAAATTCTTTGTACTGCATCTATCACCTTAAAAAACCTACCTTAAAAAAAAGTTTAATGAAAAAAAAATAATTCCTCTAACTCTTTATACTGCACCAGTTGAAAAGCTAACATTTGCAAGCACCGCTGCCTCTCACCTGTCGATATGTAATTCAGGTTCCCTGGTCATTCCAGGAACCAACTACAGAACACTTCTGCACACCCAGCATATCCCTGTGCTCAGGCAGCCTTGCGCAGCAACGCTAAAGAAAAGTGCTAGCCTTGGTACAGCAAGCCAGCAAGCGTATTAAGTCATCTTCCAGTTCACAAGTTTCTCTGCTAAAGAACAACCACCTCCACTCGTTATGACTGATTTCTGCATCTATCAAGCTCACTCAGGAACGTATACGCTGTAAGCCCCATCCCAGTGAATGCCTGTGTGCGCTTAATTTCGCCTACATGAGTAATCACACTAAGAATCAATAGGAATATTCATGCTTGTCAAGTTAAGGATACACTTAACTGTTTATAGGACACCTGCATTCATTTGCAGCTATACAACGTACTGGTTGTGGTCCTGTGTCATAAATGAGAAGGGTCGCTACTAAGTTATAGGCAATAACATCAGGGTATTTTCCGTAATGTACACAGAGCTAGAAGATCCAGGGAAATGCAAGACAATTCTCTCCCGTTTAGAAGGATGCTCTGCTCTTTGGGAGTATTTAGGGATGCATAAGCTGTAGGCCATCGAAGAACTGTGCCCCACGTATGTTAAAGAATTAACGTTAACTGCAATCATTTAAAACAATTAAGACTGACAAGTACTTCTACTGGCTCTCCAAACTGAAAGCATTTTAACAGCACAACTGTACAATCCAAAAATAATTATACACCAAACGAAGCGAAAATTTTTTCAAGTTTCCCAGTATCACTCTGGGTTTCTACATAAACTACTCAGATTTCATGAACAGTTTACATACGTGGGACACAGTAAAATTCTTTATGTGGGATTTAAGAACACAGATCTTAGGAGTGCTTGTTTGTTTTGTTTTCATTAACAGTAGGGAGTGGGGCAAGAATCAACTCCCTCCAATAAAACTAAGAAACTGTTGATACTAGGTGTTGAAGGAAAAAAACATCATTATGGTTCAGGATTAGAGCATTTAGGGAAATAGTGCACTTTTTATTCTATCTTCGAAATGTACAGAAATGCACAGAATGGTTATATCCTTCCTACCTCCTTTCAAGTGGGATCTTTTAATCACTGAAAGCAAAGTTTTAGTCAATACATAGCACATTCTTACAAAAATAGAACTTTTCGGACAACATGAAAAACAGTTAAAAGAAAAATGCTTTATCTTTCAGAACAAAGCCACAATGCAACCTAGCTTCCACTGATTTTTACACTGCAAGCGAATCTAATTCAGCAAGAGCCCCACACAGCATGGTCAATCTGTGGCAACGTGGCCAGGGCCTACCCTACTGAAGTACACATACTTGCCTCAAAACATTCAACACTGGTGCACAGGAATCTAGATGACACCCACATTTCTTTGCCCTCTAAAGCAACCTTTCCTTCTTTAAGAACCTAGTGCTTCCCATAAGGCTGAGGAGTGTATGCCCACAAGAACCTCATTACACTCAGTTTCTTGTGTTGTGGTGTGGGATGGAAATTTTCATGTTGATAGAGTTCAGAGTGCCTCTATAATCTAGAGTTAAATCCATACCAAAATCCAAATAATCAATATGGCAGCAGCTAAAGAATTCTATGAGGTGAAAGGTCAAAGATTCTTCTGCAAATGAAATTACAGCAACAATGAATGAAACTAGAGTAAATAAACAAAATTAAAGACTAGCTTTCTTCCCTTTGCAATGAAGGATCTGGGGTATCCTTTCAGAAGATTTTTTCTTTCTTCTTTTTTTTTTTCCTCCTACTTTTTTTTACTTATGCCCTCATTTTCTGTATGGAAGCACAGCGGTGTTCATTTAAAAAAAAAATAAATCAAAAACCCCTCCATCCTTAAAGAGCACCGTAGATAAAATAATCTGGTGAAAAAAACAAGCCAAAACAAACTCCATGGACCACCCTTCAGTGATGAAATGCTAAAGATGCCTTTTTTAATCAATCAGTTTTGTGAAGATCTACAAAAAAATAAAAAGGATCACATTCTAAAGGTTCAGTGCATTCAGCAGCTATATAGTTTTGCTGCTTATTCATCTTTAAGTTGACTTTCAAAAATAACACCCTAGCTCATCAAAATATACATTTTCCATTTGCTTTTAAATTAAAATAATAATAAAAAACATTTAAAGAATTCACAATCAATAGCATGACTAAGTTTCAGGATCATCTACAGCATATAATTTAAAGGTTCAAGATGCCAATACGCAGCACGTGGCAGGCCTATATGCTCCATGCAGCATGTACATTTAGGATAATCGCAAATAATCTTGATGTTCAGTTGTCAGTTTGTTTCTTCCAAATAGTGTAGAATACCCATCTGGAAAAAAAAAAGCAGTTAAGGAAAAAAACCCCAAAGTTTGTAGTACACAGCTAAAATGGAAGTAGTTCTTTTCACTTATATTTTGATTCTGGAAAATTCTGGTAGCTCATAAAGATGAGGCAGGTAAAAATCTCCAAAGTGAAATCTCCCTGGATCCTCTTTTTCAGGATCAGCAGTTCAGAAAAGCACCCCATTTCCACTGAAACTGAAATC